ATAATAAGATATTCACAATCAGTGATAAATAGCCTACAAATGGACCCATAGACTGATCCCAACAATTAAGTCTTAAGCGCGCCATAAACAATCACATTTTGTGCAATTACTTAAGACTCAAGGTTTATTCGTAACATTAGTGTGTGTTTCGGGATTCCTATACCAGACCTCGCTTTTGGTCTCGCAATACATTAGCGGCCAAACTATAGTCAGTATAAGGTTTGGTAGACTACGGGACGAGTCCCTACCGGCGTTCACGATATGCTACCCGTCCTATATGTCCATCGAGAGGATCGCTAACATGTCCGACCAATTTCGACACGAATTCACTAAATATAAGGATATTATTAATCGCGAAGCAAACGGTGACAAGAAATGCAATGAAACCATTACCCAAAATTTGACACAACTTTATGATACTATTTATGATAAGATCGGCAGAAATGGGATCAACTCATTGCCTATATATGAGAGGTTTGAGAACATGAGTATACCATATGCTGACATCGATATCATAGCCCATGGTGTTGTCCACGAGTTGGACACCCCTATCCATCACGCAGATATCGTGGACAGGGATCCCGTTGAGAGTCTGAGCGCCGAATACAATGCCACATATATGCGGAAGTGTTACACGTTTTTCAGTCACTTAAACAAAACGTGGAGAGACTTCAAAATCGACCTGGATTACTTGACTATTAATATCGCACATAATAACTACTGGTTTCCACCGATAATCTACAACAAGGGGTCAACTTTTCTGCACATTTCGATGCACTCACCGAATATTCTTCCGGATCTCACGAATGGCGAGAATTTCGTTCAATTGGACACAAGAAATCGAAATTTTGTGTTTTTTGTGATCATTTCGAAGACATTGAAGACATGGAAGCGATTGGAAGCGACTCTTCGGGTCTCAACTCATCTCACATTCAATTCGTGTCTCAAATGATATCTCTTTTCAGATCTCGGAGTCAATGACGACATGAGTGGAGACAATGCGGTCACCAATGGATCAGTTGTTGCGAAGGACAGCACCGGTAGTCAAGAGATGGCTAAACGAATGAAGACATCAATACTGGACTCACAGACGATCCCTTCCTCTGAGTCTTCATTTGAGTTCAGGTTTTGTTGAAATATCTCTGAATTGGTGTCAAAAGTATAGAAATGAATGTATTTTTGGATCAAATCCATAGCAAAGACTCTTTCGATCGATTCGGCGATGATTTGTGTCGACTATTACTGTCTTATCTGCCATTTGAAGAGCACTTCCGAAGGGAATGTCTGTCCAAACAATTCCAGAGGTGTCTTCACATCCCTATCAAAGTCCTCACTATCACTGACACACTGTTTGCCAAAATGAGCGCAAAGTGTGGATCCTTTGGAAGCGATGTATTGACTGATATTCTCAAGAAGTGTCCCAACATTCAGACCATTAATTGCTACGATATATCATATAAAAGGCAAATCTTGGAGGCCATCGATGGTCTGTCCGATGATTACTGTCGACGTCTCACACGAATTGACTTCAGTTTTGCATTTATCTCCGATTGTGTCACTAATTGGGTTCAAAAGTTTGCGCCAAAACTCCAGAACCTCGGAGTCAATGCCTCAAACTCCCAGTGCCTCCAGTATTGCCATCATTTGCGTCACCTTCGGGTTCAGTCATTGACTGATGTCTTCACTCCAGACAATCGCCTAACGGCTCAGAAGTTAGTCTCAATTGAGTTCATAATAACGGATGACTTCTCTAATGAAATGTTCACCACTTTTGTCGCAAACAATAAGTCACTGAAAAGTCTTTATGTGATGTGTTGGCCGACACTATCGATGGGAACTGTCATTGGATTTATGGCACAAATCTCGGGATTACCACAACTCCAGCGTTTGAGACTTAATTTCTTGGGCGCCAAACCATACTCTCTGTACGACTCGTTGTACACAATCGGCACTAATTGTCGGCAATTGAGACGATTTTCACTGATATTTAAGTCCAACTCATCGAAACTGAACGTCGATGTCATGAATGCCATGAAATTTATGCCGCGATTACATCGACTGGATTTGTTGTTATGGTTGACACCCGATGCCGAAGTGGTCACCGATTTTTGCATATTTCATGCCATCAATGGCTGCAAACGATTCACTCATTTAACACTCCGTTTGTGGCGAATACGCGACACACTGTTTGCCGGCATCCAGACTAATCACCGGAAACTACAGGTGCTCTCCATTAATACCACCGATGAAGACAACAAATACAATGAATCGGATTTCGAGACATTTATTATGAGAAGTAGTGCTAAATTGAGTGCATTTACGGTCCGTCAAAGGGGTCGCCCTGTGATCCACTTCAGTGACCAACAAATCTATGAATTGAGACACAATTAGCCGTCAAATGAATGAATGAATGAATGGTTAAAATTGTTTTGTGTTACTATTCGTAGGAATTGTTTTAAATTATAATAATATTCACAGCAAATAACTATATGTAAATTACCATTGTTTAATACTAACTAATTTTAATCTATTAATCAATACATATGTATTAATTGATGAGGAATTACACAATCAATTCATTGTTTCATATTTTGCATCAAATTTAATAATATTATACTTTTTTTGTTCAGTATTTCCATGGATTAGATGTTTTCAAATACAATATACTGTACATTGAAATACAATTTGAGTTATGAAAATAATTTGAAAACTTATTTTATATAAATCCAAATGTAATGTTGTTTTTGAATTAACATCGCCCTTTGTATTTATATTAATTTCTTAATACTGTACTAGATCATATATCATAATATAATGTATCGTTTTGTTCATTAATATCGAGATAATTAACTTTAAATGCGAGTGAAAAACAATTTAATTACAGTAAATCAATAAACAAACTTGTGCTTGAAAAACTTTATTTATTATATTACAATTCATTTGATCATAAATACAAACATTCAGAATATTCTTATATTGTTAATATTAACAATTCTGTACTTCATTTAACAAATTATATTCAAATACAGAGTAAAATAATATTATCATAAACTTTATTATTTAACTGTTCATTAAAAACAAATGATTTGTATTTTATAAATCAATAATATAGTGACAAATGCGTGGAAAACTTAAAAATAAAAATCAAAAATTATTAATCAATATATTGTATATATGATCAAATTTAAAATCGTTAACCAATACCCACTGTTCAACATAAAAATAATGGGATGTCATTCATAAATAGGCCGTCACTGTAGGCCGTGATTTGACGTTAAGAACTGATCTCAAGATTCGGTGGACAGACATACCTTCACAGCTGATGGACGACTGGATCTGTGAATTAAGACATGAGAATCAGTACCAGAATCGCAGTATTGCTGCCAAATATAGGTCTGTAATGTTATAATAGTAATACTTTTAGGTGTAGGTGCGATCACAATATGAGACCTCTGTTCGCGCACAGGAACTGGCGTTTTCGTGAACACCCCTTTGGGTGCCGGAGTCGGGCGCTCTACGAGCCGGTAGCGTAAGGTGAGGGCCGGTGGTCGAGCCAACCCTACCTTCACTATAGTCCGGTCACTAACGTAGTGTGCGATGAGTTGGACCGTCAGGTATAGGACTCCCATAACACACACTAATGTCACCAATTGTTTGTCACGTTTCGAGATGTTTCTCATATTTAAACTCAATTTAAATGACCATGCACCAATTAATGTATATTAGTTTATTCATGATAATTATATATAAATTGTTGTCATATACTGTACACTGAAATACATTTTGAGTTATGAAAGTAATTGAACGACAATTCATATATAAATCTGATTTAATTTAGTTTTTATATTAGCATCGCCCTTAGTACATAATTTTATTTATGTTAATTTCGTAATATAATACTAGAATCTAGTAACTAGGTAATTAATATGTGTAATAATTTTTGTTTTATTCATTAATATTCAGAAAATCAATTTTAAATGCGAGTGAAAAATAAATAAATTAAATGTAAATCAATGTACAGTACAAACATGTGTTATAAAAACTTTATTATAATTCATTTGATCATAAATACAAACATTCAGAATATTCTTATATTATTAATATTAACAATTCTGTACTTTATTTAACAACTTATATTCATATATAATATTATTATTATCATAAACCTTATTATTAAACAGATCATTAATAACAAATCATTGATATTTTATAAATCAATTATTTATTTCAAAAGTGTTTATCATTGATTCGCTTGCAGACCTTGCTCATTTGATACTACTTTTAATTCTTGATGCTTTCATAATACAAGGTTTGACCACAATATTATTGACCCGTGTTTTGGTGAACACCTTATTTACTAGAGTTTTACGTCCAATAAGACCATAGATTGCATCACAACAGGCCAACACAGACACCCCTAACCACATACCTAACAGCCCCCCGAAGTTGGACACAAACGCCGTGAACTTAGTCTCGGGAAAGTACTGCACCAATAGGTCGGGCAGTCTATTGTGTTTGACATTAATATACGTGTGTATATTCCAGAGGCACTTCCCAGCGATTAGTGTATTTGGATTTGGCTTCACATCCCAATCGTAATAACGGAACCGACAGTCAAACTGACATTTATGATGACATACCTACTTATGAAGTGTTATATTCTTCGTGAGACAGTCATCCAGTGATTTGTTGCCAAAGGAATGCGGGCAATACCGGAGCCATCGTCTCCCACTGAACACCTCTTTCCGTAAAAGGCTTTCCGTTTGAAACACGCAATTGATTCCGCACTTAGTCTTCATGACTCTAATGAGACAATGGCTGACGCAATCGCTTCTCATGTTTATATGGCTGTCCCGGTCGTCCCAATCGTAATCGTGACAATTGGTGTCGTAATTGGGTGGCAATAGTTGGGTATTGATCTGGGAATAGGTTAACATATAATTTCGATTTCTTGTGTCCAATTGAACGAAATTCTCGCCATTCGTGAGATCCGGA